GCAGATCGAACGGATCGGCCGAATCGCGTGTATTGCGCGAGAAAGTCTGATCAGGACAAATCCAACTGTCACACGAATTCGACGCGAATTGCGCTCCCGGCTCCTACTTTCACGCGGCTGCCACGTTTTCGGCCAATCTACTAATCAAAGCCTTTCCATCGCACTGTTCAGGCCATTCCAAGCACAGAATCGACCTGATCTGGCCCTTCTGCAAGTCGAGTTGCCCTTATCTGCTCCATCCGCACACTAAGTCATGCTGCATCCGCCGGTCATAACCTTTCGTCACACTATTCTGACCTTCCGCGCATGGAGACGTCCAGATCTAATCATTCTACACATCAGGCCATTCTAATCTGTTTCGTTTTCGCCCTAAGCCGAGCCGAGCGAGCCAATCTGATCCGTGCTGCATCTGCCATCATTTCCTCGCCAAACTGGGTTGTTTCTAGTCACCGCCTCCAGGCTTGCAACGGTTGTTTGGTCTTCATTGGTGTTGGTCAAATGGTGCATTCTACCTTGCTGTGATTAGTTACTGAATGTTGTACTGCCCTTAACTCTAGTTACTTTAAACAATGATAAAAGCAAAGAAATTAATTGTTTCTAGTTCAAATTACCCTTCATCAACTATTGGAATCTTTTCAAACAAGAAGATTCAAATCCTGAAACGTATCATATCTCAATTTAACCATTTATCAATCATTGATACATCAAAAGTGGTAAAATCAAGTATTACTCATCTCCCTGATATTTCCAATACCAATATTTGGATTGTAAACTATATAACTAACAAACACATGGCAGACTCTTCAGTCCTTCATGTACCTATTTTTTCTTATAATTTTTAATCCATCGGTCCCATCACTAGAGATCTTAACTATAAAATTAATTTTTTTCTTAATTATTATATCCTTCAGCATCTCAAATAGGGAAGACAATTGACACTGATAGACTGCAGGACGGCTTATATGTTTTGAATAGAAGTCAAAACACGGATTCTTTATTTTGTGATGTATGTAAGTAAATTAAACATAAGAGTTCCTATCATGTGAATAATCATAAAAATCTTACCCCCTTTTATGACTATCCACTCTCATGTTTGGAGACCTACTCAAAACACCTCTTTATCTGGTCATAAATAATTCGTTTTTTTATTGACTGTTGTACTAGATTAACATGAATTTATCTGTTGAAAACAGAAAGCGATGTGTTTTCATACTTTCAGTCATTTTATAAAATGATATATACACAATTTGATACTAAAATTAAGATTTTAATAACAGACAATGGTACATAATATATAAATGGTGTATTTCGTACCTACTTAAAGTCTAATGAGATAATCTATTAGATGAGTTGTATCTATACCAGTGAATAAAATGGTATTGCTGAAAGAAAAAATAAACACATATTAAAGGTAACTCGGTCTCTTATGTTCACTATGAATCTACTGAAAAGTTACTGGAAAGATACAATTCTTATAGTTACTTATCTTACGAACAGAATGTCTTTGAAAACTCTCGATTTTAGAAGTTTTTTAGAAGTTTTACAAGGAAAAAATTCATATATTGTTCCCCCAAATATGTTTGTTTTGTCTATGTTAGAAATGCATGCAAATTGGAACCCCACATCCTTAAATGTATATTTTTTTGATATTCCACTACTCAAAAAGGTTACAATTATTTTTATCCCTTTTGTGACTATGGACGTTACTTTTAGAGAATCCGAGTTTTATTTCAATCCAAACCCAACATATTTTCAGGGAGAGAGTGAGAAAGAAGAGATTATTCTCAGTTTGTTAACTCTTGACATATTAACTCTTGACAATTATATTCACGAGGAGAGTACCGCGCAAGGTCTCATTCAAGAAGATAATGTGGGGCGCCCATATAAACTAGACTTAAAGAGATATTTAAAGAATAATAAGACATTAAAAGTCATCGTGCAGTTTAACTCAAGTCAAGAATATTCCTCAATTCCTGAAAAAAATAGTGAGTTAACTTTACTTTGTGATTTATCTGATAATGTGGATAAACTCGTTGGTCTTACAAAAGGAGTCAAGTCTTGCACTAAACATTCTATATCTAATTTTGTTTCTTATGACTTTCTATCTCCCTCCTATATAACTTTCGTTTTATTTCTTTTCTCTGTGTATATTTCAAAACTCTAGGGGATCTCAAATGGAAGAAAGTCATGATTGAAGAAGTAAAAATTTTAACAAAGAATGAAACCTAGGAGCTTATTTCACCTCCATCAGGAAAAAAGATGTTTCATTGCAAATAGATGTTTACTGTAAAACACAAAACAGACAGGTCAATTTAAAGGTATAAAGTTAGATTAGTGGCTAAAGGGCTTACTCAAACCTATGGAGCGAACTATCAAGAGACATTTGCATCTGTCACGAAAATGGATACAATCAGAATATTATTATCTTGTGCAACCAACTTTGATTAAGACTTACAATAGTTTGATGTGAAAAACATCTTCCTCCATGGAGACTTAGAGGAAAAGGTATACATGCATATTCCCCATGAATTTGAAGATAAAAGAACACAAGAGAATGTTTGTAAATTAAAGAAAACCTTATACGGATTGAAGTAGTCTCCAAGAATATAGTTTGAAAGATTTAGAAGAGTTATAATTTCTCTTAAATATCAACAAAGCAATAGTGATTATACCATGTTCAACAAATATTATGAAGGTAAGGTCACTATTCTCATTATTCATGTAGATAATATTGTTGTGACTAAAGATAAAGCAAGGGAAATGACTCGATTGAAAGAATTTCTTATTTAAGAGTTTGAAATAAATAATTTATGAAAACAGAAGTACTTATACCGAATTGAAGTTGTCAAATCTAATAAAGAGATCTTCATTTCTTAAAGAAAATATATCATAAACTTATTAAAAGAAACTAATATAATGGGCTGCAACCCGGCAGAATTTTCTATTGAAAGCAATTATAAAGTACAAGTGGAAATCGATACATCAGTAGACTTGGGGAGATATCAGATATTGGGTTGGAAGACTCACTTATCTCTTACATACCAGATCTAATATAGTATATACAATTAGTCTGGTGAGTCAGTACATGCATGATCCTTGAAAGCTCATTTAAATGTCGTTTTTCGCATATTGTGATATTTAAATTTATACTAATAAAATATCTATTTTTTTCCAAAAATAGTCACTGTAAGATAGAAACATTTACAAATACTGATTAGGCTAGATCACCAAATGATAGCAAGTTTACTACTGGTTATTGCACACTTGTGAGAGACAACCTGATTAATTGCAAAAGTAAGAAGTAAAATTTAGTTGTTCATTCCAATGCTATAGCAGAATATAGAGCAATAACCCAAAAAATATGTGAATTATTATATTTGCAACAGCTAATGAAAGAAATAAAATTGTTCAAAGAAAATACCATATTCTATTTTTGTGACAATAAAGCAACCATTAACATAGCCTATAATCCAATTCAACATGATCAGACAAAACCTATTGAAATTGATTAACACTTCATAAAAAATAAAGTGGTTGATGGCTTCTTATTCCTATATCATGTGTCTATTAATAAACAGGAGGCAGATGTTTTCACTAAAAGATTTCGCAACAAATCTTTCCATAACTTAGTTTACAAGTTGAACATGTGTGATATTTTTTGCATCAACTAGAGGGGAGTATTGACTAAAATATTTCATTATCTCATTAATTAAGATATTTTTTTCTTTATTTTTTGTTGTTGAAAGAACAGTATAAAATGTATTGATACAGGTGCCAAGGGGGCACCGCCCATGTACAAAATTTATAAATCGATAAATATATTTATAATAGAAGCAAAATCAAGATTACTATCAATATCATGTTCAAGTATGGTAGAGCCAAAATAATGAAATCAATGGTTTTTTAAAAGTGTTGAATTCTAATTCTTTTCCGTCAAAAACACGCTTGTTTGTTTCCTTCCAAATGACCCAGATTATTGTGACGGGGATGATGTAATTAATTAGTAAAATCAATTAAAATCTCTACAACAATATAAATTTCCTTATTCGTATATAGAAATTTTGTATAAATAATCTACTTGTAATCTCATAAGTATATGAGAAAATAAAGTTAATATTTTTTTCTCTAAAATCTAAAGAGATACTATTTTATAAGAAGTGAAAACATGCTACGAGATAAGAGATGCAGGCACTAGAGAAGAACAAAACATAAGAAATTGTACAATGAAGTACAAGTCAGATGACTCCTTATAAAGATGTAGGCCAAATTCATGGCAAGTAGATATACATAAACCGATGGTATGGACTATGAGGAGATATTTGCTCTAGTAAAAAAAACGAATACTTGTAAGAGTTTTCTTGTCATTTGCAGGTAACTTTGATTAGTATTTGAAACACTTAGATGTTAACAAATGTTAACTCAAAGAAAGACATATACATAGATATCCTATGGACTTCAAGAGAAAACTAAGAGACAATAAGGTGTGTTCATTAAAGAAAGCATTACAAGTTCTAAAGCAGTCCCTGAGGCTTGGTTTGGAAGACTTGCCAAAGCAATGTATGGATATAGTCAGGAAGATCATACACTCATAAAAACAATAGAATTCATGGGGAGTCACGGCTCTCATGGTATATGTTTATAACCTGATTGTTGCAAAAAATAATGAGAAAGAATAAAGCATTAACAAGCAACTAATTAGAGAATTCGTGATAAAATAACTTAAGAGATGAAGTAATTTCTAGAAATTGAAGAAGCTTATTGTTGAAAGGCATCTCCATCTTGTAGTAGATATGTGAAATCTCCTAAGGGAGATAGGATAGTTAGCTTGTAAACCAATTTTCACACCAATTGAGCAAAATCAAAGGCAAATGAAGATTCAACTATGGGCAAAAAGATGTACTAGAGAATGATAAGAAAAAAACATGTATATTTTGCTCATACAAGACCAAACATTAGATATATCATGAGTGTTGTTAGCCAATTCATGCGTAAACCAATAAAAGGTTCAATTTCATTCTCTTTATAGAATACTAAATTATGAAAAAGCTAATCATGGAAAAGGAATTCTACTCAAAAAGTACACTAGATTGGTCTCTAAAGCATACACTGACATAGATTATGCATATTCACTAGTTGATAGGCAATTTACTATAGTTACTATACTTTCCTTGAGAACAATCTTGTAGCCTAGAGGAACACGAAGCAAAATGTGGTCACTAGATCAAATACAAATGTAAACTTTAGGGCAATGGCATATGGAGTGTGAATTATTACGACTTAAGATAGTTTTGAAGTGTTTAAGAACTAGATAGAATTATTTGGCAAAAACTAGTACGCCATTGACGTTACTCATGATCAAATGCAATAAAGCATCGAAGACATAGATAAACACTTCAAAAAAGAAAAGTCAAATAGGAGATTGATTTGTACTCTATAAGTCTCAACTAATGGCCAACAAGTACGTGTACTAACAAAGTAACTCAACAATCGGCATTGCAAGGACCTATCTACAAGCTGGGAATAAAAGATGCTCATTTATCAATTTGAGGGAAAGTGTTGCAAAATCCCTCAATCTTCTATCTCAATGTTAGGAAATTAAACTTATTAATAAATGGGACACTAGTTAGGGAGTCCCACTAATACAAAGATTTAATTTTATCTTATTTCGTTTGCTAAAGTTATTTTCTTCTATTTTCTCTTTGCATCAGCTATATACACCCACGTATGTATTCCTTCTCAATAACAAGAAATTTAATTTTTGAAATTTCACAAAAAGCACTATAAATACCTTTCTAGTATCAGTTTTTAGGGAGGCCAATTATTCGATAACTAGTTCCTTGAGAATTTGCTTAGTTTTCTAATTGTATGATGTAATAAAATACTCAAGTGTGATACTTAAAGAATCCTTAGACATAATATATAAGAAATTTAAGGTGTGATAACTACCTTCTATCTCAAAATTTTTAAGTACACAAATTAACCTTAATTTATCCTATAATTTTCCTAGAAGCTCCTTACTTCTCTGAGGAAGCTCCTATTAAATAATTAATACACCATTCAGGTAAAAAGTCCATGATGGTAACAGAACTCTACCTTGAAACTACAACAACAACATCAGGAAACTTGCTAGTGTTCCGCTCAGCATTTCGACTGTATATCTCAACCGAACCATTCTCCATGTAATGTATCTGCATAAAATGAGTGAAAGAAGCCACATGTATAGCAGCAATTATGGAAATTAGATACCAAATATCTAAGACAATAGCACCACCTGTGCACGTTCTCCATCATACTTGTATTCACATGTGTATTCCATGTCCTGGAATTTATTTACGATTTCTGCTACACCTTTGGTTGGTTTCGCAAGCATTGGTCCAACTGGGATGCCCAACGTAAAGTTGCATGTCTTTGCTAGATTCCACACCCCACCGCTAAGAAGTGCAGGGACAATTTTGTCGTAGACGGGAAGGACAGAGTACACTTGTTTAACAATCTTTGCAGCCTGCATAGACATTTATGATATACTTATGATGTTTTACAAAGAGAGCTTGAACACAATACCAGGTAAAAATTTATCAAGAATTAAAATTGGAGATCCTCTATCTCAATAATTAAATCAATAGCTTAATATTTGTATAATCATTACATGAATAGTTTGAATAGCAACTAAGCTAGGGTACTTTATTTTGGACATCAAGCATAATCAGAACAGAATACTTTAGTCTACCTAGGAAATAAGCTAATTGATTTGATGACTTATAATAGATAATAGAAAATAACTAGATAGGAAACATAATAAACTCATACCAAAAACAAGCCTACAAGCAATAGTTTCCAAATAATCTAAATATCATTAATAATACATATGTGTTATAATTACATAAATATGTTTCACTAAATATCTAATTAGGATCTTCTTGGTCTGTATCATTCTACCCCACTTTGTGAAAACTTGAGCTCAAGTTCTATAATGTTGAAGTAGAAAATAAAAAAATTGTCAGGATTGTATCAAGTGGAGGTTTAGCATCATGAACAGAATTAGTTTTTGGCAAAACACTTGGTTAAGCGAGGGATCACTCAAAGAATAGTTTTTCCATATCCATGCTATTGCATAGAACAAGAATTCTTCAGTTTAAAAATATTTAAAGATAATTGAAGGGAGAGAGGAAAAGGGAGTGGCATGTGGAAGTTACGAGAAATCTCAATGATTAGTAAATTATCAATTGTAAGACTCTCCTTCATATGGTCTCACTCGCCTCAATTAACAGAAGTAATAAGCAACCAATTTGGAGACTTAATACTAAAGGTTCTTTCTCGATAAGGTCTTTCCATAATTATTTAATTAAGAATATAAGGAGACAAGTTTATCTTTTCAACAGATCTGGAAGACTAATGCTCCACCAAGAGTTGCTTTATTTGCGTAGGTTGGCAATAATCTTGGTGCTTGTGAAGTAACGAATATTATCATACTTTTTATTTTCAAAAAAAAAAAAACTAAGATTTGTCTTCCAAACAATTAAAAGCTTGTAAAACTTGAAATTTTCTTGAGAAATCAAGGTGCTTCCAAGCTCATGGATTTCAGAGGAGTAGACGACCAATTAGTCATGACAAAATCAACAAACAGAATTATTATTTGTTTTTGAAAATATAAATGGAAGAATTGTTAAACTCTGACTATCAATAGTTGCGATAAAAAGAAAAAAGGGTATAGTTTCTTCAAGTATGGCTTCTTTCTTCTTCATGAAATTCCAATCAACTAGAATATCCTTATGCTCAACATGGCAATGTCTTTGCTTGCTACTAAATCGAAAGACCCACACTCAATAGCTCAAGCTTATTGGCCGCCACTAAACCAAAATCTTCTACAAGCTTATTTGCATAGGTTGGCAATAATCTTGGTGCTTATGAAGTAATGAATATTATCATACTTTTTATTTTCAAAAAAAAAAAACTAAAATTTATCTTCCAAACAATTATAAGCTTGTAAAACTTGAAATTTTCTTGAGAATACAAGATGCTTCCAAGCTCATGGATTCCAAAGGAGTAGACGAACAATTAGTCATGACAAAATCTACAAATAGAAGAATTATTTGTTTTTGAAAATACAAATGGAAGAATTGTTAAACTCTAACTTTCAATAGTGGCTATAAAAAGAAAAAGGGGTATAGTTTCTTCAAGTATGGCTTCTTTCTTCTTCATGAAATTCCAATCAACTAGAATATCCTTATGCTCAACATGGTAATGTCTTTGCTTGCTACTAAATCGAAAGACCCACACTCGATAACTCAAGCTTATTGGCTGACACTAAACCAAAACATCTTCTACAATCTCTTTTACTATTTCAGTTATCTCATTTATGTTTATAACTTCGAGATTGATCATTAAGTTGTTGCACCTTTACAAAATTTTGCTCACTATCCAATTCGTTTACCTTTTCATCCTTTGGTATCATGTTATACTAAAGTTTTAGATATACTAGGTTCTTGTGTAATAAAATATCCAAGACTTGCTTAGCCTAAGTGACTTTCAATCATTGGTTTAAACATGTCAATTTTATCACTTAATTCCTAGACAACTAATTTTAAATCCTCGATATCAACTTTGAAAGGATATAAATTGCACATTCTTCCTGTGATTTCTTTTCTCTTGCATTTTTTTTAGATAAATAGTATATATTGACAAGATATCAAAATCGGGGATACACCTATGTACAAAAGATTTACAATAATATTAGTGTATTTATAACATTCCTAAAATTCACATCACTAATAATCTAATAATCTAATAAAATAAACCCAAAATAGTAAATTCACATATCTTTTAGTCTATAAATGCTACTCTTAATATTATTAAAATCTCTACCATTTCTCTCTTTCCAAAGAACCCAAAAAACAGTCAAAATGATTAAATTTTTAATATTTCTTTTTATACTTAAGCTGTCTCAACCCCAAATTTCCCCACCAACTGAACCAGCAATTACCCATTCAATCCCCAAAAGGCCATATACCATACATCAAAGGCTGTAGGCAGTAAGACACCACAGCAGAAGATGATTACAAGTTTTCTCCGCCTTCAGACAGAAATAGCAGCTGTTCACCAAAATCTAACCTCTAATTCTCACCTTGTCAAGCGTTAAAATTCTCTCCCAGCAAGCCTCCTAAGAGTTCAAATTTGGAGACGCTTGTTTCTCCTACTTTAGACCTTGGAAAATAATATTAAATTTCTATCTGATAACAACTATCATGTAAGGAATATCCTTAGAGAATCCCATGTCCAAATAGCCATATTGATCAAAAAATTCCTTTAAATCGTTTGTGCCTCATCCTTTGTAACTGAACTAGTTGCCTTTTGGAATGTAACAAAGAGACATAATTAACTCCATTCATGTTTGAACCTGTCCAAAATCCCTCTTTTATGAGAAAGAACATATTTATGGGGGCAAATTCAAGCACATTTTGTCCGACTTACCTTAAACAAAACTCAAAATCAGCAACTGTTTAAAAATTATCAGTAAAATTGCAAAGTTTGGCTCAAATTAATTTAAAAGCACCTCAGCTCAAAATTTGAATCAACTCCAAGAATGGCTAGGCTTCAAAAATGATTCCATTCTAGAGATGGCTCAATTCTAGAAACAATTCGACTCTAGAAAAAAACTCAGCTCATAACAAGATTAAAACTCCAAAATGATGCATTCCAAAACGACTCGACTATAGAACAGCTTGCAAAATCTCCACTCACATTTTTCAGCTTGTGATGATCATGTGCAGTCATCTGGTGGCCATTGGCCTTCGAGGTTTGGGCTATTGATGTGTCCATTGACAGTTTTCTAAATGCCTAACAATGTCAAGTTCTGGAAAGAAAATGGCTATTTAGAGTTGTTACTAGCAGGTAAGGAAAACTCTAAAGAATTGAGGATTGAGAACCAATGGAAGGTTGATGGGGAACCTCTAATGCCAATGACGAGGGAGGTGTCAACCACCTCCTAACAATGGTCGACGGACATGTGTAGCCAAAGATCTAGGTTAGTTTATGTGCCTTATTGATACAACTAACTTCTACATTACGGTTTTTTTTAAGTAAAAGTACAATATTAACAAGTACCAATGGAATACATCCCATTTATAAAAACTTTACAAGTTCATCAATATATCAATCAAGCCCTCAAAATACTCACTAGTGTAAGAAGAATGACCATTAATGAAAAAACATTGGATTTGGAACCAAGTATCTTTAATCCTATCAAAAGACTATTCAACATCCTTAAAAGTTCTTCTGTTCTTTCTTTCAATTAAACCTAGTGTAGCCAGCCGCATGAGACTCAAATCCTTGTTGTAGCTTTTATCCCCATGAATGTCTTTCCAGACCTATATCTCCTCTCTAACTAACCAACCATAGCCCACCTTATCCCCGCATAAGACTATAAGCCAAACACCAAAGTCAGTAGAAAACAGGGCATGAAAGGAGGTGGTTAACAGACTCTCCGTGTCTCTTACATAAATAGCATCTATTCATGATGACCTTCCCCACCTTAATCAAATTGTCTATGATAAGGATACATTAAACAATGCTACTTTAGAAGATGCTTTGACTTTCCATATCAGTTTCCATGGGAAAACTTCTATGATACTTCCACTTGCGGCCAGATGGGAGTGATAAGGTTTTAGAGAGAAGGTCCCTTTTGGCTTAAGTCTCCAACCTGGTTTATCCATTTCTTCAGAAAGTCTTCCTCATCATAAACATTGGATTAAGCTTGCATACTCGTTTACCTCTCAATCATCAAGGTCTTTATTCCGATCCACCGTCCAGACTTCATTACCCTTGGATATGAGAAAGAATTTTCTCATCATTGCCTCTATGATCCAAGCTAAAGAAAAGATCCAAGGGAAAAGATGCTCTAACTGATATGATCCTAGACGACATGGAACATTCAAGGGACTACTCCATCCATCCAAGCCATGGCATGGGCTGTCCAGGTGAGCAAGCAAGCGGCCAAGGATGTCCAACAAATGATCCTTGCAGTTTGGACCCTAAAGTGCCCACACATAAACCCCAACAAGGAAAACAAGGTTTGCACATGACGAATGATGGACTTGGGCCACTTGGGAAGAGTATAATGATGCCTAATTGATCAATCACAAGAGCTCAGTAAAAAACTCAAGCAACCATTCCAATTATTTGTCTAAGAGTGGATCCACGAAGAAGCAAGCTTGAAACCAAGAGAGAAGCCCATAAAATAGGAGGTTGGGGCCCAAAGATAAGCCTTGGCCATGCATCCTCCTACAAGTTAGGACACATGACCGAGATTTAGGAGAGTTCCGCCTGAGAAGAAAACTCTCTCCCATGAGGAATTCTTCCCATCTCTTCCTCTCTTGGTGGCATTCAGCCTTGGGATTCATAAAGCAACTGGGAATTGTGGCAATTTTATCCCAAGAATGCCAATTAGCCTTTTAAGAATCCTATTTAGATTTCTTGTTTCATAAATCAATATTTTAAAAAAGTCTAAAGCATGTCTGAAGTAGGAAAGCTTAAAGAGATAAGGATTCCTCTTCATGGCCGATTCCCACAAGAAAAAAGAGTTGGTTTTCTATTCAAACATAGCTAAAATTTTTATCATCTTCAACACAATTTCTACTTCAAATATTCATTAAATAATGAGAGTCCAATCCGATCCAAGTGTCCAAGATAAAGGCAAAGATGCATTCGGCCATAATCAAGACTCCATTCAAGAGAGAAGAGTTTTATTTCATTTATGATTATGAGTCTTCAATTTAATTTTTTAATTAGAATTCTAGATAAGGTTGTATTTCAAGTTTTCCTAGGACTTAATTCTCATTTTTACTCATATTAATAAGGCTTATGAGTATATAAAGGCCTTACTATGCAGGTTGTAAAATTTCAAATTTATTTTCAATCTTTAGCTTTTGGCTAGTGTGAGGCTCTTTGGGAGGTTTTCTTCAACCGTCTCGTTGAGTGAAAAATTGTTTCTATTTATTGAGACAACTCTCAAGACGTCTTCTCAATTCTATTTATTTTTCCAATTACCATTGTTTGCAGTCACAGATTGGTTGTGGATTAAGTAGGGAACGTTTATTTAGAGATTAAGTTTTGACATGTTAAATTATGTGTGGGGGTTTTGGATGACACTTCTTAATCTTGAGTTCCGCATCACTAACCATCTTCTATCCACTCGTAGAATCTCACCTTCTGACCCGTACCAACCGTCCATGCCATAAATTTTTGGAGCTCTTTTTTCTCATATCAATCTTCTTCCATGACCCGACACCATAAGAACTTCTTGAATTTCTAGGATCCCACCCTAATTTGTCGATACCAAACTCCGTTGTGATCACTCTCCACCACAAACTATTCCCTCCATAAATTTTCAAATTCACTTTCCTTGTAATATTTAGTTGAACTAAAATTGATCTGATACCTAGGCCACCCTTATCATACGGATCTTTAATTGACTTCCATTCAACTAAGTGAAAGGTCCTCTTCTCATTTGTGTCACCCAATAAGAATCTAAATTGGATATTTTCAATTTCTTTATCATGCTCTTTGTAATAGTCAAAATTATAGGTAGGGAGATTGGTAAGTCCGCTCTCAATGAGAGTCATCTCCCCCAAACTGCTACTCTAGCTTTAAATTTTTTGACAATGGGGTCCCAGATGGTTATATATTTGAATTTAGCACCAAAGAATAAATTCTACATTTCATAGGAAAAACAGCCCCTTTACATCCCAAAATACTAGTCAAGTTGATCGACCCTCTTGTCTCCTATCCTAACAAGTTATGACTTTGATATGTTGATCTTGAGACTAAACATGCTTGAAAGCATAGGAGCACATATCTAATTTTGAATAAAAATTACAACTCAAGCTTGAAAAATAGTAGCGCATCATCTAAAAAAAGGTGGATAACCTCCTTACTATCACTATTTCCCTCCACTGTCAAGTTCCTGAAAACCTGGTTGTCTCTAGCTCTCTTAATCGGTCTATTTAAGATCTTCATTACAATAATAAAGAGATGTGGGGAGAGGGATCTCCCTGCCTTAGGCTCTTTGATACCTTAAAGAAATCTGGAGGGCCATGATGACTAGAGCTGCAGAGGTGAAAGTCAGTGGATACAAGTCTTTATCCATGAATGCTATCTAGGGCAAAAAAACCCATCCTAAATAATATATACGGCAAACAGCTCCAAGACTCATGATTGCATGCCTTCTCTATATCTAGCTTGTAATCAAATCACCCATTCAACTCTACATCTCAATAAGCTATCTACCACTTCATTATCAACCACAATTGCATCATGTGTTTGTCTTCTTTCTACAAAAGCATGTTTAACGTGCTCCTAAAACCCTCCCCACCACTCTATTCAAGTTTTCTCAGAAAGAGTTTCGACAAGATTTTGTAAATGTTGGCCATGAGCTTCTCACCACTGACCATGTTTATGTTTTTTTTGGGCTATGGGATTATAAAGTTTGGGGCATAAAAATATAGTCTAACAAATTGAAATTACACTCTCATACCAAATGATATAGAACAAAGAGAACTTGAAAACAACACTCACCAAAACATTATTAAAAACCAAAAGTGAAGCTCTCATATCTCATTAGTTAAATCAATAACTCAATATTTATATAACAACTAAGTTAAAATATCCTAGTTATAGACACTAAATATAATAAAATAAGAACATTTTAACTCTACCTAGGAAATAAGCCGAATAAGAAGATGAGCTAATTAATTGAATTATCTATGATAGAGAATAATTAAATAGAACTCTTGCTAAATAGGAAATGTAATAATAAATTCATACTAACAATAAGCCTATTGGTAAAGTTCTTAAAAAACCTAAAACCCTTAATAACATAATTTCAATTGCACAAGTATGTCTTAGTATTGACTACGCCTCAACTTGGGATCTTTTTATTCCACATCAATTTATTTCCAAGAGATATTTCAAACAGAACATCAAGAATGAAAAGAGAGACAACAAATTCTTAAACGTTATGGCATATGTGCTATTTTAACCAAAAAGCACTCTCATCAAAAGCAATCATGTATTCAAAATGATGCTCAAAACCCTGAAGTACCTAAAGATGCATATAGGAGCAAAAATTCCATGCGCTTTGATAAGTAAAAGTTAGAATTAAATGTCCATAGCATAAACTAAAATCATTGTTTTAGTACATAGGTTTGTTGCATTTGATTAGATATTACGTAACACAACAATGAGAGGTTGATCTTATGTTGCACAATGAAATGGGGTTTAGAGAACAGAAAAAAAAATTAAGAGAAAAGAAAAAGATAAATCTAATCAATAATCACAAGGTTTGCAAACAAAACCAAAATCACAGTGAAAGGGGTTGTCACGATCACAATTATGATTACATTTACAGGTTTTTAAGCACTCAACTCAATTAGTGAATACCAATACGCTTTATTCATCAATAGTCTGTCTAACTACCACCAATCACCCATGTATTTATAAGGTTAGATGGTCCCTCATCATAATCCAATCCCGATTATACAAGAATATATCAACCTTCTACTCAGCCTAAACAAATATCAAATTTTCTCCATATTTTTACTGGATACCATCAAGAAGTCAAGACGGTCTTAGCACTTCAATAGGGAACTGAAACAGCAAAAAGAGAACAGGATGACAAAAGCAATTTCGAGTCCACCATCACAGTTGGCATATCCTGGTAGATAACATAAGATAGAATAGCATCATTATTTCACCTAAGAAAACAGCTAACCTCTTCTAAAGGAGACTGAACATTGGGAGGTGGCCTAGAATGTTCTTCATTATACACAGCAGCTTGTCCCAATGCAGCCAAAAGAGTCTGCTCCGCTAAACCTATTCGCAACTTTGCCTGCAGAGGAAATCCAGGAAAAGCTCAAAAGGAGCCAACAAAGCTAATCTTAAAGTAATATCCAAGTTGCAACCTGAAGTAAACGAATTAAGTATTGAGGTTCACAGTCGGTAGCTGCAACAAGTAGTCCCTTAATGCGATTCTTTTTCTTCTCCTGACTATCCTTTCCAGCCTCCTATTAAGATCAATATACAATACGTGCAAGTTGTAAGAAAAACCAAAGATAAACATAATTAACAGTCTCGTATTTCAGGCACGAGTTCTCATTTCTTAACCAACTACGGAACCAAGAAATTGCATCATGCAATTGAATTGCAAAGAGGGAAAGAAATCACATATAGAAAAGATAACCTACCAGGAGTCTGTTTGCTCACATCATTAAAATTACATACTTGACCAATCAAAGAAAATCGATTGGCTAGAAGATCAACAGATTTAAAACTCATAAAACTTTGTGTTCTTTATCACTTCCATAAGCTATATAAATAAAAACAGCAACCTTGGAACTGTTAAATTTAACATCTTTCTTTCTTGCTGTTTTAAGTTAAGTCAAAATTTATAGTTCCATTAAAAATGCCCTCACCTAAAATGGTTAAAGTTTTGACGACCATTCATAGGATATGTGGAGATTGGTAAGGCAAAGAAATGAGTTGTGAGATTATCATAAAATTAGCCGGAAGTTCAGGTTTATGGATGAAGAAGACAAGATGCGACATGGTTACAATGGCACCAGTCCAGAAGGAACACGGTACACTGGTGCTTATGCAGTGTATACAATATTTCCGTGCTAACATCAGTTAAATCCACAACTATTTAAACAATAGTAATATCCACTTGTCTTTCTTGAAGAAGCCGCAACAATAATTTGTTCCACTATTTTGGTACATAACTGGACCTCTAAAAGGTACATTTAGCTGTCTTCAATCTCCCCAAGCAAACTGGCTTGGATAAGGACAATACATCCTAGGATATAGCTGTCTTCAATCTTCCTAGACAACTTTTCTTATTTTTGCACTCAAAAAAAAAAACTCTTATTTTGGACACCAACTAGAAACTGCAATAATAATAAAATTTCAAACGACTGCAATATCAAACACAAACAGGAAGGCCAGAGGAAGATAGTATAGAGAAGTACACCTAAATCAGTCCCCAATAACAAACTCTTTCCCCTTCAAACAAATTAGATAAAATTCTTAAATATGGTTTTAGAACAGTAAGTGATGAAGATAATGTACCTTAGCAATTAGCTGAAATGTTTCAAAAACTTTGGCAATCGTCAATGCGTCAGGCTTGCGCATCATAGATTGAGATGATCGGCTTGCTTTAGCTACAAGACCCAAATCTCCTAATTCCTACATGAACAAGAAGACCCCAAAACAAATGGAAATGACAAGCATGTATCCACCTCAAAATGATTGTATAGTCATTTTAGCAAAACATATGATGAATAAACAAAACCCGCCAGCAACAATCACCTTGTACTGCTTCTTAACCTGAGCTTCAGTTCTCCCAAACGCCTCCGAGAGCGCCTTGATAATGGACGCGTCCCCAATTCCCAGCTCCAACCCCTCATGAGCCGGGGCTACCTTATTGGCGGCAAGGTACACGACAGCCACCAGGTCCGCCGGAGTTGTATCAATCACGGTCCTCAACATATTGCATACAATGTCGGTGATCACAATCCGCCCTGTCTCGTTCGAGATCATATCAAAAGCCAACGAGAGGAAAAGAAACGGCACTCTCTCTCCCTTCCCCCAACACGCCACCTTTTTTGGGTCAAAATCAGCGGCCTTCTTCTTCAAAAGCCCCACTTTGCTCTTCAATTCCCCAATTCTCTCCTTCTCGCTCAATACCTTCTTTTGCTTGGCCTTTTCATGGTCTTGTTTGGCCTCATTTCCCGAATCTTGGGGCTGCAAAGATCGATTCGAATTGGGCTTTAGGGGAGCCTTAGCAGGTTTAACCGAATCCTGAGGCTTTTCACTGAGTAATGATGAATCGCTGGTTTCGATTGGATTAGGAATTTGGGTATCTAGGGTTTTGCGTTTCTTCGGAGAAGAAGAAGAAGACTGGGGTGGCGGCTTTTTTTTGGCGGCAGCGCGAGCTCCGGACATAAGTGCGTCGAAGGCGGACGGACGAGAAGACATGTTTCTGCGTGAGTGAAGGTTTACAACAATGAAAAAGGAAAGGGGTTTAAGAGAGAAGGGTTTATATGGAAGGGAGTGCAAAGAAAGAGGCTTTAGCGAATGAGAAGCTTTGTAGAGCAGAAAATTGCATGAACGGAAAGTTAACATCAAAGTTTGACGCAAGAACCAGCAAAGTGACTCAATGAGTGAGACGCTGAACGCTGCTTCCGGTGCAAGAGAGCGTCCAGGGAGATTAGAAAAATGGCGGGAATTTGGCGGGATTGTAATTGCTCTGTTTCTCTTTTCTTCTCACAAAATGTTCATATTTTATTAGATTTAGTCATAACATTTAAAAAATTGTAAAGTTTCAATCTGTGTATTAACTACATTAATTTTATGTTATAATTTTTTTAAATTAATTAATCAAAAATTTTTCTTAAACTATTTTTTTAAATATTTATTTTAAATTTTTCTATTTAAAAATTAAAAATAAATAAATATTTAAAACAAATTTAAAAATAAAAAGTTAGAATCAAATTATAATTAAAAAATATTATATATTAAATTATAGTCAGTATCAAAATTTAAAAAACTAATTTAATAATTAGTTTTTAGTTTTTGTTCGAAAATATACATACAAATATCAACCATCCAAATTTACAATATATTTATATAGGTGCTAATATTATTGTACAAAGATTTACCATATTTATATTAATCTAAGAATAATATAAAAATAAAGATTTAACACTTTATATTTTCATTATAAATAAAATAGATGTGAAATGGAAGTTAAGACATTCTTTTTAATAATTATTTAAAGAATCCCCTCTATAAAATAATTAAAACCTTGGCCAAAGATAAATATTTAGGATATAAAATGATTTTGAAGACGATATAACCACAGAAAATAAAATAAAGGGGATTGAACGTCCACAATAAGTCTAAAAATGATAATGAAGGCATCATGAACTAATATGCTTCACATGCACTTTATCATTGAAACAAATTTCAAAAGGAAAATGGAAATATCTAATATTGCCAATCATATCATAAAAATCTTGATTTAATCTCTGTAACGGCCCCGGAAATGTTAAAATGAAATGAGTATTTAAATATATCAAATGCGGAAGCGAGATCAAAATTTCAGTTAACATCCCTTACACGAAAAACCAGAAACGTACTTAAAATATAAAAGATTAAACTAACTAAGAGAGAAACTCGAAAATAAAACTATGAGTATGACTACAGAGTCTCTAGGTATCCCCTTCGTCATCCTCCTGCGGAACGGGCTCGGGAACCATGTCTTCCTGATCTGAAATGGTTAAATAAGGAGTGAGCTACACTAGCCCAGTAAGAACATCACGATATCTCACCGTCACGGAGGTAAAGGTGGGTAGAAAAACACAAAAGACCAATGGAGCATAATTTACAATAAAACCTTTTATCAATAATAAAACTTTTACCATCCACTTACCTTGGTGGAATTTATGAAAACAATATGAGAAAAACAATAACATCATCATAATCATTGAATAATCTAAGCTGTAAAACATAACACTTATCACGCCTCTTGTAATTCAATCATTGTACAACATATCCCTTTCTCATTTACCAGCCTACTAGTATCCGTGGGGGTCCATAGGGGTTCCGCTACCCGTTAACCTTTAACATTCATAATCAGTTTCCAGGGCCGTCCCCATACCCCGTCCGGTATGGGCGCCAAAACCATGAACCTCAATACCCCGTCCGGTATGAGGGTGAAACGGGCCGTCCCCATACCCCGTCCGGTATGGGCGCCAAAACCATAAACCTCAATACCCCGTCCGGTATGAGGGTGAAACGGGCCGTCCCCATACCCCGTCCGGTATGGGCGCCAAAACCATAAGATCTCCATACCCCGTCCGGCATGTGAGACCACAATCCCGGTAGGGTTCCCTACGGACCCGGTCCGTCCACCATCTTCCAGGATATCTAGTCAGGCTGACCCCCATAATACAATTATCAGTCTATACAATCTTTCATTTTCCTTTTCCTCAATCAACATCATCAATTCACATTTAAACAAGCAAATCGTAATTCATACCAACAGACAACATACAATATCAGTTTTTCAGTCATTCAACCCATAATTAATAAAAACGTAGTACATGCACACAAATCTGTAAAATGAACACATCAAACCTCACTTGCATTTAAAGCTGTAAACAGGCCAAATAACAGTACATCATCAATCACACTAGACTCAGGCTCCATTAGCAACCTTAAGCAATTTCACACATGCGTTAATTCAAGAAATACCGTTTTATCATTTTGAACTTTAATACCGTGATAGGAAATAGGGTGAGGGGTCCTTACTTGTTTTCGAGATCCGAATACGATTCACAGTGCGCCTGCAGGCCTTCCCTAATTTTCCCTGAATTTTTCCCGGGGAACTGAAACACACTAACAGTACCTGCACGTGTTCCAAAAAAAATCCAAATTAGGCCCAGGGCCCCTTTCGGCCCAAATCGCAACTCCGGCACGGCGGCTCCGCCGTGCTCCGGCGACGGCGCCGCCGCTGGCGGCGGCGAGCCGCCTCGGGTTGACTGTTTTCGGCCGTTTTCGGCCGAATTCGGCCACGCTCGCATTGATCCTTGTCAGAAAACAACCCTAGGGCCCTCGGGGGGCCAAAAAATCACGGAAAAACGGAGCTTACCGGCGGCAGCGCTCTCGGGTGCAGCGGCTCTCCGGCGAGGTTCGTGTTTTGGTGATTCGGCTCCGGTCAACCTGTAGAGAAAAGAATGGTGATCACGGTGATATAAAAATTGCATCGAACGGAGGCCGGGAAGGGCCTCGTCGGAGGCAAAAACCGAGAGGGGGCGCGGCGGCGCCGCTGGGCTTCGGCCGCGTATTCCGGCCGTTTGGCCGGGATTTCGGCTTCGATTTGGCCATAGGAGGAATCAGTGGGGAAAAACGAGTCGGGGGTATGAAATTTACCTCGATCGGCGGTCGGAAATTTCCCCGGTGCGGCGGCGACTGGCGGCGGGTGGCGGCGGTCGGCCTCTGGTTCGTCTTCTCCGGCGAGCGGCTGGCGGCTAGGGTTTGTGGTCTGGTGTGGGGGTTCTATTTATAGCCCCTTGCCTTTTGATCACAGCCGTTCATTTTGTTTTAATCTGGGCCGTTCGTTTTTGATTGAATCTGGGCCGTCCGTGCGATTGAATCTGGGCCGTCCGATCGCGTGATTGATCTGGGCCGTCGGATCGCACCCACGCGGATCGCCAACGTGGCTCCTTTTGGAGTGACGCGGTCTTGCCACGTGGCAGGCCCTGGTTGGCCGGGACTGCTGACTGGGCCTGCTGACGTGGCTGCTGACGTGGCCGCCCTTTTTTTTTTTTTTTTTTTTTTTTTTTTTTTTCTCCTCCTTTCCGGGTGCTACAACTCTCCCCCCCATAAAGAAATTTGGTCCCCAAATTTGCCTCATTACTCTTGATCAAACAGATGAGGATATTGGGCCCTAAATTCTGATTCCAGCTCCCAAGTCGCCTCCCTAGGCGTGTGGTTCTGCCACAAGACTTTTACAAATGATATTTCCCGGTTACGGAGTATTCTGCTTTCTCGGTCTGTGATACTGACCGGTACTTCTTCATAAGACAAGTCCTCTCGGAGTGAAAGCGGTTCATGAGCCACGACATGAGAAGGGTCCGGATTGTACTTGCGCAGCATAGATACATGAAACACATTGTGAACCCGGGAGAGCTCAGGGGGCAGTGCAAGTCTGTAGGCAGTGGTACCAATCTTGTCTAAGATTTCAAAGGGTCCAATGTATCTGGGGTTTAATTTTCCCCTTCTGCCGAACCTACTAATTCCCTTGAAGGGGGTGACTTTAAGAAACACCCGGTCAGCTTTCTCAAAGGCCAGGTCTCTCCTCCGGGTATCAGCATAACTCTTTTGCCTACTCTGAGCCGTCTGGATGTTCTTCTTGATCTTAACTATCTTGGACGTGGTTTCTTCCACCAAATCCGGGCCAAACAATCTTCTATCGCCCACTTCCTCCCAACAAATCGGTGACCTGCACGGACGACCGTATAGCGCCTCGTATGGGGCCATGCCGATGCTTGCTTGGTAACTGTTGTTGTAGGCAAACTCTATCAGGGGTAGATGGTCGTCCCAATGGCCTCCGGAGTCAAGGACACAAGCTCGGAGCATATCCTCCAGCGTACGGATTGTCCTCTCTGATTGTC